TATGGTTTAAAGTTCTGGGGAAACATAAGCAGCTTAATTACTGTAGTACTTGTAACAGCAAGCAAGAAAAGCTTTTGTTATATTCTCTGACCTTTTTCTTTACAATGTTATTTACTTGAACTATGTCAAACATGGTGTATTAAAATGCTGTCATCGAAAAGGATCTGGAAGTATTCAGCTTAGATTCTCATTGCAATAAGCATTAATAGTAAAAGTGGAATTTAAAAAATAGCAGTTTTGTTGAAGAGTTGCAGGGGAGTTAAAAAGAAAAAATTTCAATTTAGAAATAGCATACATTTTCAATTTAGAAATAATATATTCTTGTGGATGAAGCTTGATCTCAGTCGCTGTTTTTCAGAGCTTTATTAAATGCTTTTGACATTATTGGTGTAAGTGTGGAAACAGATCTGTTTAGGTTTGCTTTGAATTTCCAGATACAGTTCCAGAGAGGACTCAAATGCTGTGAGCATTTATTCACAGAAATGTTATTTTCTTTTCCTTTCATTGTTACCTCTTTGTAATAATTTGTTTTAATCAAGCAAATTGTATTGCTTCCGATCCTCTGCTTCCAGTTTCCTCTTACTTGAGCTCTGAATTCTGCTTCAGGAGATTTTGCACTTCTATTCTTAGGAATTTTTGCAGGTCACATGCAAAGCCGTGTGTGTGTGCATGCATGCGTGTATGTCTTTAGACAGCATACCAATAATTAGAATAACCCTGCAAAGTCATGGCTTTGCATCAGGAGAACTCATGGCAAAAAATAAAACAGTCCTCCACTTTCAGGTGTATTTTTTGATTTTGACCTAAGATGGCCAGACATCCTGGCAGCTGGCAGAATGTGTTTGTGATTATTTTGAAAATGCTCATAACCTGTGGCTTTATTTCTTCTCTCTTTACAGGGTCTTTGTAAACAGAAGTTTAGCCATGGAGAAGATAAAGTGCTTTGGTTTTGATATGGATTATACACTTGCTGGTGAGTATCTTCTTTTTTTTTTTGTTGTCATTAACTTAGTTTGGAATATTGCTTCTTGTTGAGCAAAAACCAGTTACTGGTTGGGCTACTCCAGTTAGCAGGTGCTTCTTCTATTAGCAAATATATTGTTCCCTATTTGGTGCACTTTCATTTTAGGTGTTTCCTGTAAATATTTTATCTGCAAGCTGTATTTGCTCACAAGCCCTGTTGCTGTAGTACAGTTTCAAGTGATTATGAGTGTCAGGGAAACCAAAGCTTAGTAAGTCTACTTGCTTCCTTAGATTCCGCTATATTTTGACATTGCCCCCGGTGCAAGCTTGGCCTTGAATAACGAGGTGATTTGTTTTATCCTTGGTGCCTATGGCAGGCTACATCTTTAGCCAGCAGGTTCTCCTGTGCCCTGTGAGTGTCATTTTTGAATAGGGTTTCCTCTTTCCCACTCCTCGGTTGGCCACATCAGTGACTCATTTTGAGAAGAGGCAAGGCAGGCGGAGTGTCTTGTGTCAGCTGAACAAGTTAATTTAGAAAGCTTTGCCCATTCTTTGTCGCAGATAGGCTTTGGGAGGTTGCATAAGACCTTCTAGTTTCATAAAATTTTTTGCATGACTTCTCCATCTTTCAAATACTTGACAGGCAAGTTCTCTGAGACTTTTGATGAAGGGGGGGTGAAGTTACTGTTTTCTGCTTAATCAGACTTGTTATGTATTTTAAGGAAGGAAGAGATAAAAGGCCCGCTTCCACTTTCCTAGGTTATAGTATCACCCAGGCTGTAACTGAGGATGTCATGTACAATCCTGCTTTCTTTCTCATTACCACTTTAAAGGTTGTGGATAAAAAGTTCCTATCACCCTTGATATTTCCATTTAGAATTGTTGTGAATATAAACTGAGAAAATGTGAGGTAGAGTGTCAGGGTCACCTAATAATAGGTTAATGCAGTATGTTAACTACGGTCATCTAGTTACTGTGTCTACTGAGAAGGAATGAGAGATGAGTAATATGGCTAAGGACAGTGTGAGGGTCACAGGAGCCGGGGTTAGTGGCTAAGCAAAGGCAGGGAGGTTGCCACGTGCTCACCATCCAACACAATGCTGCAAGGAGGAATTTTGGAGGCTGTGGCAGGTAATTGCAGTTTATATTTAGATCACTTACTTTTGTTCTTTTAAGCAGTTATCCATGAGGCAGTAGTTATATATAAAAGGTTTGGTTGTTCAACACCTTATTTATACATCTGTTTAAAGTTCTTGCCACTGCTGGATCTCACTGCAGGTGCGTGCTTTTGGTGTTTGTGTTTCCCAGCTGTGACAGTCTTGTGGCAGTGCATTTAAGGAGCGCAAATCAGTTGTTCAAGAGCAAATGCTTTAAAAAAAAAAAAAAAATAGTAGTGGGTTTCACTTCCATAATGGAAAAACAACTTCTGTGCCTTTTGCAAGCTGGCAGCATTTCCCAAGGACTCAGATGATCCCAGTGGGGCTGGCGTGGAGCATGAAGCATGTTGGTAACTTTCATCCTGACAGAAGGAGAGATTCTGCACTATCCTCTCTTCTCTGACTGCTCATTTTACTTGAGTATTGCTTGTTCCTGTAAACACTGAGCAAATGTGATGTTATCCACAAAACGATGCTTGGTTTGATGAGAGGAAAAAATGAATGTTTCAAGCATCATAAAACAGTACCCAGGGACATGGAAACTTGGGGCTTCCAAGGCTGGAAGATCACAGTGCTACAGTTAAGCAGGCAAAGTTGGTGCATTCAGGGGAGTTGAGTGACAGAGTATGGTGCAGAAAAAGAAAT